TAACCCTCTATATAACCACACGCTGTCTGTTCTATGTTGCAGGCTGGTGGTGCTGCTGTGTGTGTTCGGCGCTATGGAGTACACGCACGCGTGTAGCACGGAGCTGCGCTATCACGTGCTCGGCTACATCATTCTCATGTCGCTGTGCATCATCTGTGAGGCGGCCATATCGTGGGTGAGCATGCGTGGTAGCATCCTCTACTCGCAGCCACGCGACAAGATGCAGTATCTACTCTACTTTCGTTTAGGTACGTGTCACGAGTGTGTGTGTGAAATGGAATCACGTTTGGCATAATATGTTATGGTATAATATATATGATGTTTATATATTATATATATATATATATATATATGTATGTGTGTGTGTGTGTGTGTGTGTGTGTGTGTGTGTGTGTGTGTGTGTGTGTGTGTGTGTGTGTGTGTGTGTGTGTGTGTGTGTGTGGGTGTGTGTGTGTGTGTGTGTGTGTGTGTGTGTGTGTGTGTGTGTGTGTGTGTGTGTGTGATATGATATATATGGTATATGATATGGTATGGTATGGTATATATGGTACGATATGGTTTGGTGTGGCAGGATGAATCGGTTATAGACTAGAATTCTAGCACTAAGAGTAACGCTGACGCTATCCTTGTTCCTAACCCTAGTCCTATTCATAACCCTATAGACCAATCACGCGTGTGAATTAGATGACGTAGCTTTGGTATGGTGGGATGAACCGGATTATAGACTGGAAGTGTAGCCCTAATCGTAACGCTAACGCTATCCTTGTCCTTACCACTAATCCTATTTCTAACCCTAGACCAATCACGCGTGTAGAATGGAATGAGGTAGGTTTTCGATTTGGTATGGTAGGATGTATTGGGTTCTAGACTGGATTTCGACTGGCTTTGGCCCTGATCGTAACCCTAAGACTATAATTGTCCCTAACCCTAACCCTAACCCTAACCCTAACCTTAATCCTATCGCTAGCAATAACCCTACCTCTAACCCGGAGACTAACCCTTTACATTAATCCTGTCCTGATCACTACCCCTGGTCATAAACATAAACTATTTACCCCATTCTTAAGTTTAGCTGTAATTCTTAATATTACCTTAACCTTTATATATTAGCTCAACAATTCATATGAGGGAACAAACTGCATTTAATGGAATTTTGATTAAATAATGGTGCTCAGACATTGCTGTTATCCACATCTGGCGTCAAGAATGAAAGTGTGAGTAAACTACAGGTTTTGGTGTTCATTTGCGTATGTACACGTGTGTGCGTGCGAGCGTGCGTTCGTTAGTGCGTGCGTGCGTGCGTGCGTGTGTGTGCCAGTGTGCGTTCGTTAGTATGTGCGCGTGTGTGTCAGTGTGCGTTCGTTCGTGCGTGCGTGCGTGCATGCCAGTGTGCGTTCAGTCGTGTGTGCATGCGTGCGTGCCAGTATGCGTTCGTTCGTGCGTACGTACGTGCGTGCGGGCGTGCGTTCGTTCGTTCGATCGTGCGACGATTGTAACGTAAGTAATGCTCTAACGCTTGAATGCACAGTATATATATATATATATATATATATATATATATAAGATCAGCTCTCCCACAGGAATGTCCCGTGCGACTCTTATTCTTTGATTGATTTTCATTTAGCTTGCAGCGTGTACGTGCGGGCAGCCAAAGCAGCTGCGCGAATCGCTAACAGGATGCTAATAGTTGCTTGTGAATACAGTAAACACCCGCATAAAAGAAACTGCGGATTAAGAACTGCATATCTGTCATGGTCATTGTCCTGTTCGATTTCGCAGTTCAGTATACATTCGCATCCTGAAAATAAGCATGATAACCACGTACGCTTGCCTCTATATAGAGTTCGTGTTCATTTGCCATTATTTTCTTGGAAAGAGATTCAAGAAAGAAGTCCAAACAACTCAAATCCAAGATGGCGTGCTTTCAATGACATGGGAGAAACCGCTGTCCTGTGCTGTCCGCGACAAGGAGCTAAATATAAGCGACATATTTAGCTCGTTGGTCCGCGGTAGCACGAACAAGAGGCGCAAGGTGTTATGGGAAAATTCCTCATTGGAATTTGTGAACCTCTTGTGTTTGGAATCGAAGATGAATCGTACTTTATTTGACTGTGGCTTAAGAAAATCAGTGGAATTGAAGGATGGGAGGCTGTATGACATTACATCGACGTTGCAAAAGACTGTTGAACTGAGCAGTAACTCTGTTAAATGCAACTTTTGCCATGAATCCTTCAAAGGAAATCAATATCTTGACACGCATGTGCGTTTCAAACACAGCACCCAGTTTACCACTGAGGAGAGTGATAATCCTTGTTCAAGCAAAAGTTGTGTGGAAATAGGCTCATCTCAAGGAAATCTATGTCCTACCACCGACAACCATTCAGCAGGTAAAAAACATGTTCAGAGAATCTATGAAAGCCAACCACTCGAGGAAACAAGGCCAAGTGAAAAACGAAGGGGAAGTGACAAGCGGAAGTCCTACAGTGTAGAATTTAAAAAGCAAACAATTGATCTTTTGGATTCTTTCAAAACGTCGACAAACAAGTTTACAGCAGTTGCAAAAGCAAAAGTTAGCAAATCCCTGCTGGTAATTAAAGTGGAACAAAGACAGAGGCAGAATTAATGCAGAAGTGGAAATGAATAAGAGGGAAACGAATACAGGTGGTACGAGGTCTACCAGGCAAAGGAGGAGAATTGCTGGGGGTAGATCGAAACGCACTGAAAAATATCCTCTGGCCTCACATCTTCTGCTTGCCGAGTTCAAACTAAGGAGAGCAGCAGGCAGCAAAGTTTCCAAGCTGTGGTTCAGAAAAAAAGATGAAGTCGAAAATAGATACGTGTTATGGCAAAGCATAAGCGGAAAAATTTAAAGGAAGTAGTAACTGGTTTCAGAGATTTAAGAAAAGACATAACGTTGTGCTTAGAAGAAGAACGAACAAATGATGATGATGATGATGATGATGATGATGATGATGAGGATGATTGTGCGGATCATGGCAGGGAAAAAATTCAAAGGTTTCACAGGGAACTGAGAAAAGCTTTGAATAGGCCCTACACAAAGGAGAAGAAACAAATCTTCTGTTGACCCGATGTATGGAAGATGGGTTCCCCAAAATAGGTACAACATAGATCAGGTCCCCCTCCCATTTGTTGTTGACCAAAATCAAACTTACGAGACATTGGGAAGCAAGCAAGTGTGGGTTTCGCAACCATCCTCTGGTTTGGACAAGAGACAAGCTACTCTTCAGCTGTGTATACGGGCTGAAAGAGAACAAAATGTGAAGCCAGCTTTTGTGTTTAGAGGAAAGGGACGTGTGACTGCTCAGGAGAATGAACAGTATGATAAAGAGGTTGATGTATATTTCCAGCAACGTGCATGGATGGATGAAGAGGTGAGCATGCAATGAGTTAAGGGTATACACTTATTCCTGGGATTGGAAAAGACAAAGAGGAAAAGGTTATCTTTGCAGACAATGTGGGTTTCCAACAAAGCAAGTCATTTCATGAAGCATGTAGAAATGAAATGAATGCAACAGTTTACATGCTGCCTGATAATCATACTGACAAAATCCAGCCCATTGATGCCGGATGTGGAAGGATGATGAAAGTGAATGTAGCTGCAGCAATGGAAAGATGGTTAGAGTAGGACAACAACATTGACAAGTGGCATGATAAAGTTTCAGCTAAGGACAGGAGGATTTTAATGACTCAATGGACAGGAGAGGCTTGGAGAAAGCTGAAGAACAATAGAGAATTTCTGAAGAAATTATTTGAGAAAACTGGCTGCTTGATAACAGCAGATGGATCAGATGACAACAAAATCAGCCCTCAAGGACTAGAAAATTATGAGATTTAGGTAATGTGCATTACATTTCGTTTAGAGCAAGCTCGTATAAATTTGGTAATTTAATTAAATTATCAGAATATTTGCTTGCATTTACTAGTTTAAATTAAGCTGTGTTATGTTACTGTAATGCAGTTATGCTGACAATGAATCATTGCCTGTACTGTCTACTATTAGTCAAATCAATTTTCACAGCATTTGCCCTTTCATTGTGCTTAATATGATAAGTAAATTAAAGGTGATAAATAAATTAACTCAAATGAATTTAAACAGACATATAATTACCTCCGCAACGGAGTTGCAGGGAGGTAATGTAATCGGTCTCGTGTGTGTGTTCGTGTGTGTATTCGTGTGTGTGTTCGTGTGTGTGTGTTCGTGTGTGTGTTCGTGTGTGTGTGTGTAGCGTTGGCGCGATCGATTCAGCACCAGCTCGCCTTAGGGCGTCCAGTCAGCAGCAGCTCGCCTTAGGGCGTCCAGTCAGCAGCAGCTCGCCTTAGGGCGTTCAGTCAGCAGCAGCCAGCAGCGAGCCAGCTGTTATACACATGTACGCTCGCGAAGGTATGCACTCTCTTTGAGTGCCCTCTGTCTAGTTTACCTTTTTTTTATTGAGACGTTCCAAGTGCTTGATTTAGCATTATATTTTATTGAAACCCTCCAAGTTCCTGTGCGCCCAGTCG